GTGGTGGCGGTGGTGGTGGTGGTGGTGGTGGTGGGGCCTTCGGCTCTTCCCGCCACTCTGGTTTGGCAAAGGGTCAGAGTTCCAACGGATGCCTCTCTTGAGGTCTCGTCAGAAGGGTCTCGGGGGCGTCTGAGGAGCATGCGAGGGCTCGATATGGCGATTTGTGTGTTCCCTCTGCGGCCTCAGGGCCCTCTCTGGTCATCGTCGCTGCGTCCCCGCCGTCGGCGCTGCTGGCCGCCGCCACCGCCGGCGACGGCGCCGGCGCGGGGGGGGGTTTGAATCCCCCCGTCCTCCTGGGCCCTGGGCGCTCTCTGGTCATCGTCGCTGCGTTGGCGCTGCGACGATGACATACATACATACATACATACATACATACATACATACATACATACATACATACATACATACATACATACATACATACATACATACATACATACATACATACATACATACATGCATACATACATACATACATACATACATACATACACATACATACATACATACATACATACATACATACATACACACAAACATATGTACACATGCATACATACACAATGCAAACATACAACGATACATTCACGCATGCATTCATACACACCTACGTACGTACGCACATACAAACATACCTACATATAGACATACATACAAACACACATCTAAGCATATGCATATTTATATGCATACCGACATACACATCTCTGGGGGCAGGGACGGGAACCCTGAGAGCACACACCCCGCCTCCGTGCTGGAGGCAGGGCGCCCAGGCCCCTCCGAGACGGCCCAAGGCGGCTCCGACAGCCCCACGCGAGCCCCAAGAATGCGCAGCCTGAAGGAGTCCGTCGCGCGCAGCGCTAACGGACACTGAAAGTGGGCTCAGGGGTTCCCCCCCCGAGCCCGCACTTGCACCGCAGTGACCCGGAGCCCACACACTTAGGGCTCACGGTGGAGACAGTGCTCAGGCGCAGAACGTGCCATTGGCGATAGCGAGAAAAACCCAGACGAGTTAGGTGATATGCAACCAGAGCAACTCGGGGCCAGAGACCCGCAGCCTGCTGCGCTGGCACGAGAGACCCTCGTGCCTGAGCTGATCCGCAGGGTGACGATTCGTCAAACACCTGTGCATCTGAGAGGCTGCGCGCTTGCCATATTGAGGCGGGGGGCATCGTTCTCTCGGGGAAGAGCCTCCCTTGTGGAGATCCCCCCCCGCAAAGTAAACAAACGATGGCAACACCTGTGGTCACATATAGCTCGTGGCCACGCGCAGCACTACAGCAACATGCCCACTTCCGTAGCCTGCGATGAATCCTGTCGAGCCACCGCTCCACCTCGCGTGCCTCCGAGGCGTCTCGACTTACGTGGCGGCCCCAACCCCCTATATTCACCGCCTCCTCCTGGCGCAAGCGGAGGGCGGGAAGGGAGGGAGGAGGCAAACGAAGAAGAGGCGGGGTGGGGTCCCCGCCTCGAAGCTGCCGATGGCCTGATCAAGGGCGTCGGTGGCAGGATGTGCGGACTGCACAGCTGAGCGAGTAACGTGATCCGCAGGCGGGGGGGGGCGGTGAGGCGAGCTTTCACAACCCGAGAGACAGGCGAGGCAGAGCGCATTCTGGGCGTGTTCACGAGTCGGGCATGGACCCGGTACACCTTAGGCGATGCTTAAGAAAACTTAAGTTTTCGGCCAGAGTCTCGATTATTCTTAACGTTTCGATGTAAATCTTAAGATTTTAATAGAAATGCTGGGCTTTTATTCAAGTTCTGAGACTATGCATTTCTTGACCCATGATTTCTTAAGCATTTCGCAGGGTGTAGATCACTGAACTGGATTACTCAACTTCTCTCCTGCTCGGGCCAGCTTCCTCCTGGGGACCAGTCTGGGCGGGCGACGGCAGCGACTCGACGACGTTGGCCACGGTGGCGGGCACGAGGGCGGCCTCCGCACTTTGCGCGCCGAGGGACTCCTTCCACCTCATTGCAAGGGCTCCCACGAGGGCGCGAAGTTATTCGCGCTTCGCGCTTCGCGGTCCTCGATCCTTCTCCCCCCTCCTCCTCGTCCTCCTTTTCTCCCTTTGGGGGGGCGGCGCGAGGGCGCGAAGTTATTCGCGCTTCGCGCTTCGCGCAGCGCGAAGCGCGAAGTTGGGAGCCCTAGTTTTCTCACCCGACGCGACACCATGCTGGGCGAGAAGCTCCTGTGCCCAGAACGCACAGCTTCCTGGGAGCCCGATCGAAACGAGGACGACGGCTCGACGTTCGAACCTTTTCCCTCTGGCTCCGTCACGAGGGTGTCCTGGCCTCTTGACGTGGACTAACCCTCGTGTGAATGTCGGGCGGCCTGTGAGCTTAAGTCGACGCCAAGACTAGAGATAGCACTCAGCTCGTCTGAGCTTCTCGCGGCCTGTCTAGACCTGACTGGTGAGAGCCTTCTTCCTGTGTGCCCATCCGCTTCCCGACAGCACGACTGCAACGAAGGCGACGTCTCGACGCGCGAATCTTGTTCTTCTGGAATGGCCACGAGGGTGTCCTCGCCTCTCAATGCGGACTTACTCTCCTCGCGTGTGGGCTGCCTGTAAGCTTAGGCCGACACCGACGGAAGAGGTAGCACTTGGCACACCTTGGCTACTCGCAGCCTGGCTGGACCCCTGGAGCTGCGCAAGGCGGCCCGCTCAAGAAATCGTCGGACCACGGACGTTTCGCGAGTACCCTGCGCTGCCTCTCAGTGCCACTACGCTTGGTGCTCGTAGGACACTTAGCACTTCTGGCCACTCCTGTGCGGATGCGAAGTGTGAAACAGGGGAGCGTTGAGAGTGCCAGCCTTCGTTCGAGCTCCCCTGCGTTCCCTCAATCTGGCTTCCCCTGGCACCGTAGTGTTGGGCATGCAGGCCGTGTGGGACTTCGCCATTCAGACAAGGGCCCTTTTGGCAGCCAGGAGCAGCTATCTAGCCTGCTTGGCCCTTTCCCCAGACAGTGTATGGATGTCCCTCCCTTGGCAGGCCGCAAAGTCGGCCCAACGGTTTCCTCGAGCTTCGAAGCTCTGGCTCTTCCAGTGACCTGAAATGTAAAAATCCTTCAGGGTTTCAGAGATGCCTCCAAATTCTTCCATCCTGCACCAAATCTCTCAACGGAGGTTTGTAATAGGACGCCTGGGATGACATCCCCAAGAAGGCCCTCTAACAATGCCCTGCGGGAGGTCCAAATAGTCAGTGAACACCACCAGCGGCAATAACGCAACTCTGAGGATTTGTGTGACATCGTACAATTCTGCCTTGGGAGACATGTGAACAGGTCCTCGGATGGCTCCGTACACAACTAAGTCGATGTTATGCTGACTGATCTGACGGAAGCCTCAGCCAGCCCGAGCTGCCTCGGACCAATGCACGAACCTGCGACCGGCCCCGGCCGAGAACACCACCCCCGTCACGTAGGAGGCATCACCATACTAATGCAGTACATGCCAAGTTCCCGAATCACCCATCCCCGAGACAGCCCAAGAGCGAAGACGGCTCAAGACAGCCTCAAGACGGCCCACGATGCCCCCAAGACAGCCCGAGAGGCTTCAAGACGCCCCCGAGGGCGCTGCTGGGAGGCCATAGTGTTTCAAACGCCAGAGGAAAAGCAATGACATGTGAGCAATGATCTGTGCTGTCTTGCCTTTTTAACATCCGATGAGCTTCCTAAGACTCAATGTAGCCTCTAAGAGCTCCCCTAAGAGGCTCCGAAAGGTCCGAAGAGGCCCCCGGGAGGCTCCACGAAGCCCCCAAGAGGTCCCCAAGAGACTCGAAGGATGACCCCGAGGATGACCCTAAGACGCCCCGATTCCCGAAGGGGCCCTCACGAGGCCCCTCGAGCCTCCAAGAGGCGGTCAAGACGACCCAAGAGGCCCCAAGCTGCCCCAAGAGGCCCCAAGAGCCCCCAGTACAGCAATATTGGTGTTACATCTCCCTATGGGAGTCGCAACATATGGAAGCCGAATGGACCCCAGGTTCCATTCTCCCGAGAAAGGCCCCAAGACTCCCGAGAAGCCGCGTCCACCGGCGTGTGGTGGGGCGGGCTGGGGTGAGGGCATTGAGCAACCAGCATTGTGGAGACAGCCGAAACAAGCCTGCCGGCGATGGAGACGATGTGGGATTGCAGATGAAGGATATGTAATGAGGAGTCGCTGCAGGAGAAGGATACGACCAACATTAGTTCGCAAGCGATTCAAGAAGTGAGGCAGCATCGGAGTAAAGGATGCGGAGTACGAACGTACAGCATGAAAAGGAGTGTGAGACGAGAGGCGGTTTGCGAGTCCGTCGGAGGAGGATGGGAACGACGAGGAGGAGGAGGGAGAGAGCTAGTGGGGGACGGGCGGTGGAGAGAATAGGAGGGCTGGTGTCAGCTGCAGGGAGAGAAGGCTGGGGGCGACCATACTCAGGAGGGGAATAAACACACAGACACAGTTATTCGTCGACTCCCAGAAAATATGGGAAAATATGGGAATTGGGCGGGAAGACAAACACCCAGAAAATATGGGAAAATATGGGGCATCTTTTTATTTGTGTGTATTTATTTGTGTGTCCCAGTTCCCCTTCACATACATTTGACACGCACTCCTGCGGAGTACAGCCCAAGGGTAACGTTAAACTGTCAGCACAAGCCCACGGGCGCTCGCGGAGCGCGCGAATTTCTCGGGCAGCTCGGGCTCACCGCTCTCGTTTCATCTGCTCCGCTAGCTCCCGAAGCAACAGACGCACGTGGTGCGCGCGAATGCTGTGTACATGTATGTGCATCTACATACGCACACGTAAGAATAGCGAGTAAGCATGGGAGAGGAAGAGGTGGGGGAGGGGGAGGGAGGGGGGTGGGGGAACGGAAGGGGCGGGGGAGGGGGCGTGGGGGGAGGGGGGTGGCGTGGGAGGAGTGGTGGCGGGGGAGGAGGAGTGGAGGGGCGGGCGGGGGCGGTGGCCCGCCCTGCGCCCTCCCCTCCACCCCCCCCCATCTGCGCCGCCGTTGCCTGGGAGGTGAAGGCCAAGGCGAAGGCCAAGCCCAAGGAGACCAAGCCTGCCGGGAACTTCAAGGACCTGCGCCGCGACCCCGCGCGCGCGCGGAGCGGCGAGGGGCCGTGCGGGCTGCGCGGGGCAGGGGGAGGGCGCCGAGGATGAGGATCACGTGGGCGACGCAAACAAGCGGGGTCGTCTGCGCTGACATTGGCGCGTACGCTGCCAGCGGAAAGAGTGTCAAATGGGGGGAGACATAATGGATCGCGTCGCTGGACTTGGAGAAACCTTTCGACGAGGTGATTCACTCTGCCGTGTTTGCTGGCCTACGGCGAGCTGGCGTCAACGACGATGACCTCAATGCAGGTGCAGAAATTGTATGTTGAGCAGCGGGCTTACATTTAGTTGGACGCATCGTTACGGAGCGAGTGCTTTGATATCCTACGCGGTGTGAGACAAGGAGGCCAGCTGTCACCGTCATTATTCATTAACGTGGTCCAGGCCGCTATGGCTGGATTATAAAGGAGCAGTGAGAGCGGAATCGATTTGGTGCGGTGATCGGCAGCAATATTTTGGGCGAAGGCCGCATGACGTACGGTATGTTTGCTGGCGCCTGACGGCCGAATTTAGACAAGCTCTTGTCTTAATGCTCAAGTCGACCAACGAGGAACTTGGAAGTATTGGTTTCAACATGAACGGAGACAAATGCAGCGTGCAACGCGTCGGAAAGACATGTACCTTAAGCAACATATGCAAAGCAGGGGATCTCACATTTCCCCCGGTTTATTGTAACGTGTGTTTCAAAATACTGGGCATTGCGATTGCTATGAACGACAAGACCGACGACGAATTCGACAATCGTTTGAGAATGGCTTGGAAGAATTCCACTCGTTGCAAGGTGTTCTGTAAAGAGAGGGAGCTCTCCAATTTCGCATACTCTTTCGTGGCGCCCCTTCCCGCTTCGCTGTGCTTCCAGGCCCTCCCACCGGGCCGCGCACGTGCCTCGGGTCATGACCTGCGACCCCCCCTTCTTGGACGCTCCCGTCTTGGACGCCGCCGCTTCCGCCCTGCTCCGAGGCGGGGATTCGTACATCTCCGCCGCCTGGAGGATCGATCTTTGTAGGTTCAAAATTTTGCTCTTGGAATTGAGTGATTTGTAGAGCTTTAGTACTTTTCCCTGTGATATTCGATCTTATTCTTGTTTGCTGTTTTTACCTCGGCTCGTTCGGGTATTATTTCCTCGACAGGCGGCGGATCTGGACATGTTCGTGCCCCCCGGGGCCCGACCGTGTCCATGTCCACCGCCCGGATGGGTCCCGCGACGTCTCTTCCGCTGGCGGCGGATGTGGATCTATCCCCACCTCGCACTTCCGCCGTTGCGCGACATTTCCGACCCCGGACCAAACTCGGGGAACGACAAGTTTCAGGAGGGGAAAAAACACACAGACACAATTAATCTTCGATTCCCAGGAAAATATGGGAAAATATGGGAATTGGGGGGGAAGACAAAAACCCAGAAAATATGGGAAAATATGGGGACTATTTTTATTTGTGTGTATTTATTTGTGTGTCCTAATTTCTCTGTAAAGTTGCGTGAACATGAATTCTCGGAGCTCCGCGCGGATGGATCCACGCTGGAACCTCCTGGCGGCTCCTCCGGCGCCGCCCGTGGCGCGCTCTCCGCGGATCCAGGAAATTCTCGCGGACCTCCGACATTTTATGTTTGAGCCATGGTTTGTTCCCCTGCAAACCTCTGGGGCGGTTTTGGAGGTCGCCGCGGCGATCGCGGCGGCCACAATTTCGTGCAAGGTTTTTGTCGAGGAGTGGCATGCCCCTTCCCGCCCCCCCCCGTTCTGCGATGCAGGCGCAGCTTACAAGTGGCCATGTAGCGATGCAGAGTTGCCTGTTGATGTCCAGCATGGGCAGTCATGTTTTTTGTTTCCTCCATAGGGGTCGATGATGATGCAACCACCTCCGTCTGTGGGCGCGGCCAGGTCGTCGTGTGCGGCGGCTGCGGCGGGATCGGGCAGCCGATGGCCCTGCTGATGGCGATGGACAAGAACGTGAAGGATGGAAGCCTGGGGGTGGGGGGGGCAGGATCGGGGGGCCTTCCAGATGTGGTCAGAGCAGATGGGGTCGGAGGATCGTATCGCATCGCCGATTCATCAGCGATTCGGCTCGATGTGGAGCCCGATCTTCTCTGCGCCGACGTCGTCGATGCATCGCCTACGCATGGCCGATGCATCGCCGATGCGGCGCGATCCTCCGACCCCATCTTTGAGGACTACGGAAGGGGGCAGAGAAAAGATGGGGGCGGCGAGGGGGAGGCGGAGGAGCATGGCGAGAGGCGGGAGGGGGGGTGGCAGAAAAGGGGGAGGATGCGGAGGGGGTGAGGATGAGCGGTGGCAGGGGCAGGAGGAGGAGGAAGAGGAGGAGGAGGGCGAAACGGAGGGGAGGGGATAAGAGGGGAGAGGGAGGGGAGAGGAGGTGGAGGGGCAGGGGGAGAGGGAGGGGAGGGGGGAGGGGGAGAGGAGGAGAGGAGGGTGAGAGGAGGGGCAGGAGGAGGGGAGGGGGAGGAGGAGGAGGGGGAGAGGAGGGGAGGGGGCCCAGGGTGTCGGGCTTCGGTGGGCTGCGTTGATCATATCCGAGCAGCCCAGCAGGTCCGATCAGCCCAGCAGAGCGGCTGACAAGGCTGAGGATAATGAAAGGATGAGGAGGACGATGTGGATGCAGAGGAGGGTGAGCTGAGGGTGAGAGTGCCCGTTTGGGAGGGAGTGAGACCCCGTCCCGCTGGGGCCTTCGTCTCCTTCGCCGCGTGAACCTGGAGTCCTCGCTCCCCCCCGCTCCTGAGCCTCGCTCCCTCTCATACTCATGCTCCACCGTCCTCCCCGAGGGTCTTGCGGGTCTCTCTGGTGCTGCGGGCAAGACGCCGAGGTAACGAGCGCTTCAGTCTCGGGCGGGGCTCTGTTGCTTCGGGCCGCTCTCCCTGGACCTACGCCGGGGAGCCCGCTCGTGGCCGAGGCTCGCCGTGGCCGGCCACTTGCCCGGAGCGTTCCGATGCTTCTGCGCCCCCCTCTGCAGCACGGTGACTGTGCTCTTGCGATTCCCCAAGGGGCTTTCGTGCTTTCTGACTTTTCCCCCGTGCCCCAGCCTGCTTTCGGCGCGCCCCGCCGCTAGCACGAACTGCGCCGAACCGCATTCGCACCCTCATGCCCGTTGACGGCGTCTCAGAAGGCAGTCGCAGCTCGGACCCCCGCGGATAAGCACGCCGCCTCCTTTGCCTTTCCACTGTCACGGCGACTCGCTCTGTCAAGCACCATCGTAGTTATCTCAGCGCTGGCACCGGCACGTACTGTTGCTTTCTGTCGCGAGCACGTGCCGCCAGTGTTGCCCTCATCATGTGCGATGAACCTTGCGTTGCCAGGGGCCTTTCGTGCGGTTTCCACTTCCATTATCATTTGCTCCATATCACTTGTGGTCTACACTATCGCATCACATATTCCACTGGCAGGGTCATTGCGTGTTCTCACTGGCCTCCCGTACATCTTCCATCACATTATTGCACGAGGCTGTCATGGCACCATTGACTGTTTACCACATGCCAGGTAACGTATGGTCTCAGCTTGCAATGGGTCGATGCATGTTGTCACCTACCAGGTGTCATTCACACTTGCGGAGTTCTTGCCGTGCATGAGCCGTGATACGTATTTCAAGCTATACACGTTGTTTTCTCCTTGGCTTCTCACCTCCTACTATTGCGAAGGCCTTACGGCCGGTGCCGCCGACCCTGAATGGCGACGACGACGACGACGAGCGCTCTTGGGGGCCTCTTGGGGGTAAGCTCTGAGGGGCCGCTTGGAAGCCTCGTGGGGGCCTCTTGGGGCTTCCTGGGGGTCTCTTGGAGGGGGCCTGGGACGTCTTGGAGGCTTCTTGGACGGTCTTGGGGCTATCTTGGGCGTTTTCGGCCGATCTTTGGGCGACTCGGGGCCCTCTTGGGCCGTCTCGGGGGCCATCTTGGGCATTCGGACCTCATTTGGAGTGTTTTCGAGGTTTCTAGGCCGCCCGAGGAAAAACGAATCTACCCCCCCACCCCCCCTGGGACCCCCCCCCCCCGGGGACCCCCCCCCGGTACCCCCCCCAGGACCCCCCCCCCCCTGGGGAAAAAATCAAAGGGAAGGGGGTTCCCTTCGACTCGATTACGGCACTGCTAGATTTTTCTCTCGCTCACGAGCTTGAGAAGGAAGCTGCAGGGAAAGGGGACGACGGAGGCGACGACCGACGGAGACGACGACTCGAACAGCCAAGCCCCTCGCACACGCCGACAGGGTCGGCGGATTTACCAGCTGTTATTGATAGCAATCGTTCATCACTCTGTCATCGATCTCACCGCTCTATTGGTGCACAGTGTTGCCATTAACAGTTTGCACCATCGGTATCTGAATGGCTACTTGCCGCCGCCTCCCCCAGACGGAAGCAGCTCGGAAACATCTTGGGATCAACCTGGGGCTTTCTTGGGACTTTGTCGGGTCAGCTTAGGGGCACTTTGGTGCTTTTGAGAACCACCTTGGGGGCTATCTTACCGGCTCGAGATTCTGACCCACGCGCACAGGCACACGGCATCGGCAGCGCTGCTGCTTCTTCACCCAGGCAGCAGGGATGGCGCCGATGATGAAGTCCACGGTCATGACTAAGAGCGCCCTCACCGCGGCGCTCGCTGATGCCTGCGAGGTGAAGAGGGGCGTGATCGCCACGGCCTTGAGTACTCTCGCGGGCATTGCAACGACAGAGGCGAAGAAGAACGGCAAGTTCGTCGTCCCGGGCGTTGTGATGATCAAGACCCGCCAGAAGAAGGCGACCAAGGCTGGGAAGCGCGAGATTTTCGGCAAAGTCGTCATGGTGAAGGCGAAGCCGGCCAAGACCATCGTCAAGGCCTTCCCCGCGAAGGCCCTCAAGGACGAATTCTGAGGGTCTCCTGTTCTGTGGTGAGCCTCGCCAGGTGGCTCTGCGTGTGCACCCCAGGTTTTTCCTCGTCCAAGAGGAGTCTTCGTGTCATCTTGTCCAGGTTGGCTAGAGGGTGCGTGGTCATGCACGGCCTTCTGGTCCTAGGACGCTCGGCGAGGGCGACCACATGTACTTCACGGCCGTCTCGCAGAGTTAATCAACAACCTTTGGAGCTATCTTAGGTAATCTTGGGGCGATCTAAGGGGTCACCTTGGGGACAATTGGTGGTATCCCGCGACCGACTTGGCGCCTGGCCGGGCCATCTTGGGAGACGTTCGCGGCGGGCCTCTTGAGGTCACCTCGGGCACACTGGAGCTGTCTTTGGGCTTCTAGAGGACGTCTTGAAGCCATGCTGGGACACTCAGGGAGGATAGCAGGCGATTGGCACAACAAAACGTCTGAGGAGCACCCCAAGCTGTTTCCTGCCTTCTCTGAGCCTTTTTGTGCCCTCTTGATGGTTTCTGTGGGTCTCTTGGCTGGCGGGGGGCCGCCTTGAGACTTGGGGCCCGCCGGGCTCTGCTTGGACCCTCTCGGGACGCTTCTGGAGGCCTCCTGGGCCCCCTCGGCGTGCGGTGGCGTCGCTGCTCGAGTCCCGAGGCAACTCGAGACGTCCAGGAGGCCGTGGTCCCTCCAGGCCCCGCAGTGTCCCTCGGCTGCCTTCGAACGCGGCGTGGATCCTCGCCGCCGCGCCCCCCCCCCCCCCCAGCAGGCAGTAAAGAGGAGGCAGAATTGGAGAGAGGAGAGGCAGGAAACAAGAGACATGACGATAACGAGAAAGACGACAAGACCACACCAGCACGACGGCAGTCTGGCCAGAGCTTCGCTGCCTAGCGCCCTCCCAAGGGACTAGCTGATTCTTCTCGTATTGGCCCTTCAAGGCAAACCAGTGACCACGTGTCATCACTCGACAACCGATTATGATCCTTTCATGTTTTCCCTTTGGCTTTAAGAACGTACCGAATTCATTGCTATACCTCGACTTACCAGTCGCCACTTACGTTTTGTTCATTGGTGCTTTACAGGTTTTACACCTCTACAATGTTCTAGCCGCCGGATACTGTTCACGAGTTGCCACTTTCAAGTTGCATTGTGCCATTGATGTTGTCCACTTACCTTTTACTATTGCCGCTACCATTACCGATGCGACAACCAATGCCACAGCTGTTGCCACTCCTACTGCGATTCACATTGCACTTGCCGACGCCCGCTGTTATGGCTATTGCAGCAGCTGGCGCCGTCACGATTCCCATCGCCTGCGCTTGCTCCAGATTCAGACGCAACGTGTATTTTGCATTGTCTTTTGGCAGGGATGGGGGTGGTGGTGTCAGCATGGGTCTGGGTTGGTTGCCGGTCGGGTGGGGAGGGAGTGCTCATTCATGGGAACAGTGATCAAGCTAACCCCCTCCGAAGGACGGCTGTCTCGCTTACTCCGGCCCGCCTTCCCACCAGATTAAGTAGCATTGGAGTCTCAGCATGGGCACGTGTCGCCATCGACCGTCATCGGGGCAGACGCCAGCCAGGTACACGACGCCCGCGAGGTGCGCCGTGTGTGCCTGGGTATCCGGGTCATCTTTGTCAAGTAACTGTGGAAAGTGATCGCGGGGCGCCCGCGTACGATCAAGATTCTGCCGCAAGCTGTATATCATATTGTTTCTGTGCCCGGGGTGATGCGCCTGGGCGCAGCAGGCAATGCGCATGCCAGACCCACCTCGTCCCAGGCAAAAACCAACGCAGAGTGATCGCGGGGCGTCCGCGCCCGATCCAGATTTTTTCCCGAGGCGTGCACGCAGTGCTGCTTTTTGCAAGGGTTAGTGTGTGTGTGTGTGTGTGGGCTTGGCATGTTTCCGGGTTCGCCCCCGTTCAGGTGGGGGCGGGGTTCTATATCAGTAAGGAGCGGTGATAAACGGCTCCTTGAAAGGGACAGGGAGAGCAAAACGCCTCAAGCCGCTTCCGCCCCAAAGGGCTGCTGGGATTGGCCACCACTGGCGACCTGTGTGTGTCCTCTACGGGGGAGGGCTGCTGCCGCTCAGTGCTGCCACGGCTCTGTCCAGCTGCCCTCGCTGCTGCTCCCTGCCTCCGCTGCGCTCCGGAGACGTCGCCTTTGCCAGGCGCGCCCGCCCACCCCCTGCTCCCTTCTCTCCCTCGGCTCCTCCCAGTCCTGCCGCTGCCACCTGCTACTCTATCCCCTGTCTCTCTTTACGTTCTTCTCCTTCGCCTCGGGCTGCACCCTGGCACCCCTCGCCTCCCTCCTGCCTCCCTGTCTCTTTCATGTTTCATCCCGCCAGGAGCTCTGCATATACGACCTGGACATCTCTCCGATGCCACCGGTGCGGCTGGGGCGTGGGCGAGACGGGGGGCGTGGGATCAGTAGCGGGAGGCAAGACACGGAAGGAGGAGGAAGTGGGGGATCATACAGATATTAGCCATGAGAGCGCAAGCCAGTTGCCCGCGAGCGCCTCTGCTGATAGACAAGCAGAGTCACAGTGCCATTCCCAAGAGTACGCCCCGAAGACCCCCAGAACAGAATTGTCCACCACTAAGGGCAATCAAAGCTGCAAACCCGCTTGCCCGTTTGAGGGTGCTCCCCTCCTGGATGTTGGCGAGGGCCTCACGCGGGTCCTTGGCCAGGAGCCCCGAGGAGAGGGTAACACATAAACCCTCAAGCTTGGACCCAAGCCGCTGGGCGCAATAGGCTCCACGATCCGAGGGGGAAGAGGTGACTGGGATGGGGAATAGACATGGCTGGGCGGGTGGGGGTGGGGGAGTGAGGACCTGGAGCGAGCGAAGTTGAGGAGGCATGAGGAGCATGTGGAGGAGGAGGAGGAGGATGAAGGAACAGGGGGAGAAGGAGGAGGACCAGTGGAAACTCCCTCCGAGCTCCCTCTTCATAGACCCCATACAACGGTTCATTTCCACTGCGGGAACTGTCTCGTTGGAAGACAACCGTTTGAAGACCCTGAAGCATGTCAAAACAATGTTCTCGGGATTCCAACGCCACGGATCAACCTGGCTGTTGCGTCTTGACGATCTTGAATCATGCCAGAAGCGCGTTCTTAATAATTCAACACAGCGAATCAACGTAACAGTTGCGCCCTCCTAATCCTGAATCCTTCCAAAGACCCAATTTTTGGTATGCTGATCATTGGATTCCGTGGAACTCTTGTTGCAAATTTTTGAAACACCTGTGCGCGGCGCTACGGCGAGAGCCACATTTTGAAATGGAGCTGCCCTCAATCCGTGGCTTGCAAATTTGGAAAACGAGTGTGCTCGGCGCTATGGCGAGAGCAACATTTTGAAAACCACCCGCCCTAAATCCGTGAAACTCTTGCGAATTTTGAAACGAATGTGCGCGGCGCTAAGGCGAGAGCCACATTTTGAAAACCACCCGCCATCAATCCGTGAAACCATTGCAATTTTTACAGGCGAGTGTGCGCGGCGCTAAGGCGAGAACCACATTTGGAAAAACCACCCGCCCTCCATTTGCGAAGCTGTTAAATATTCATGGTCATAAATGGTGAGGAAGTCTCATGCGAAACGCCCGGCCCGCCCTAAAAACTGGCTTTGGGGTGCGACAGGGAGAAATGATTCACAAGGAAAAGGAATGGAGGAGGAGGAGGCGGCGGAGGCGGAGTGTGAAGAGAGGACTGATGATGGTGATGGTGGTGGTGGTGATGACGGCGACGATGATGATGATGGCGATGACGATAATGATTATGGTGGTGATCATGATGATGATGATGGTGCTGATGCTGATGATGATGCCGCCTTCTCCTCCTCCTCCACCTCCTCTTCGTTACTCTCCTACCCTGTGCGGCCAGGCTGGCGTGGCGCAGGACCTGATCCACCTGGAAAGGCTCGCCCTGGCTTCTCCGCCCCTCTCTCTCTCTCGCGTCCTGGCGCCATCCTCGCTGTCGCGGTTGACCGGGCCGCTTCTCGAGGGAAGACGCACGATGACCATGACCAAGGAAAGAGCGCGTTCTGTGGGCGCTTGGATGGGGGGTATCGGAACCGGACCCCCCCCCTGGATTGGAGGGGGGGGGTTCAACCCCACCTTTTCCTCCTCCTCCTCCTCCCGTGACGGGAGGGGGGGGGGGTTCGAACCCCCCCCCGTCCCCTTCCCTGTCTCCCTCTCCTCGGGCCAGCGCCAGCGTCGGCGGCGGCTGGCGACGGCGGCAGAGGGCGTCGACGAGGAGGTGGTGGCTGTGGTAGTGGTGGTTGTGTGGTGGTTTGTGGTGGTGGTGGTGGGTTGTGCTGGTGGTGGTGGTAGTGGTGGTGGCGGTGGTGGTGGTTGTGGCGTGGTGGTTTGGTGGTGGTGGTGGTGGTGGTGCTGGTGCTGGTGGTTGTGCTGGTGCTGGTGGTGATGCTGGTGCTGGTGGTGGGTGGTGGGTGGTGGGTGGTGGTGGTGGCGGTGGTGACTGGTGGTGGTGGTGTGGTGGATGTGGTGGTGGTGGGTTATGGTGGTGATGGGTTCTGGTGGCGGTTGTGGTGGTGGTGGTGTGGTGGTTGGTGGTGGTGGTGGTTGTGGTGGGTTGTGGTGGGTTGTGGTAGGTGGCGTTGGTAGGTTGTTGTGGTAGCTTGTGGTGGATGGCGTTGGCAGGTTGTTGTGGTAGGTTGTTGTGGTAGTTTGTGGTTGTTGTGGTGGGTTGTGGTGGGTACCCTTGTCGGCCGTCTTGCGCTCCTCCTTCTCTGTGTCTTCTAAATCCTGGAAGTGCTCCAGCAGGGCTTCTGCATGTGCGATCTCCTCATGTAGGATCTCCACTTGGCTACAAGACGTCTCGAGGTATGACTCTGCTTCGTTCTGCTGGTTCTGCGCATCCGCCAGACGCCGCTTAGCACGGTTGACGAAGCTGAGCTGTTTGGCCGTGCGAGTTGAGGTCGTCCTCGAGAACATGAGCTGAAACTTTTTTTGGTCTGCGGGTCGAGAGCGAGCCTCTTCCGGTTAGGAGCTAGGCGGGCCGCGCAAAGCACTAATTGGGGAGACAGGGCGCGGGCGGGCGGGGTCTCAGGCGGCCAGAGGGCGCGGGGTGCAGGCGGTGCTGAAGAGCTTGCACAGGAAAGGGTACGCCTTGGACAGGAGCCGGAGGCGAAGTCCCGGAGGGAGAGCGAAGTGGTGTTGCCGTCGACGGCGCGTCAAAATCATCCTCAAGAGCTGCGTGCGGAAGGACGAACATGAGCCGAAACAAAATTATACTGTTTTCGTGTCGCAGCTCTTCGACTTGATGGTTGTCCAACTTGAGCTCCTGCGAGCACTGGATTTGGCGTTCGAGTCCCTCAAGCGTCGCACCCAGGGCTTTGCGAAAATCGCCTAGCTCCTGCGGGTCCTCTGGCTGGTCCTGCCACCGCTTGTTCTGGAGAGCATGGCGAAATGTTCATGATCTCTTCATCCTCGTCGATCACTGGCCGTGCTCTACCCTTGCTGTTCTGCTTCTGCCACGGCGGGACTCTTTGCTTGTCATTGCTTCTGACACTAGAACTGTTTCCGACTTTGGACTGGGAGGTCGGTTGGCACTTGACACACTGCTTTGCCTCCCACTTGTTCACCTGACTGCACGCTGGGCATTCCCACAAACACTTGAGTGGGGGATGCTGTCTGCTTTGCCATTCTCGACCTTTGCTGCGGGGTCTCGACGGCTGTCTGCTTCTGTCGCGCTGTCCTCGCTGGCTCCACGACATGGCACTGAAACTGTGGTGGCCTGCGAGAATCTCGGTGGCTGCGACAACTTGCAGTCAGGCTCTGGCCTTGCTGCGGTCCGCTTTGGCTCTCCTGTGCCAGGCGGGCTCTGGGGCACTGTCACGGGCAGCCCTCCTCTCTCGCGCCGTGGTTGGTCGGTGGGCGCGGGAGGCCTGGCGCGTGTGAGGCCTGGCCGGCGGGAGAATCCGCAGGTACGCTGGTACCTATGACCGAAATTCCTTCGAGCCGGCGATGGCCTCGGAGGAGGGAGGAGGGAGGAGGGAGGAGGAGGGAGAGAAGGGAGGGAGGGAGAGAGGAGAAGAAGGAGGGAGGAGGGGGAGGAGGGAGGAGGGAGGAAGAGAGGGAGGCAGGGAGGGGAGGATGAGGAGAGGAGGAGGATGAGGAGAGGAGGAGAGTATGATGAGGAGGAGGAGGGGGAGGGGGGAGGGTGGAGGCGGAGGAGGCGGAGGCGGCGGCAGAGGCGAAGGCAGAGGAGAGGAGGAGGAGGAGGAGAGGAGGAGGAGAGGAGGAGGAGGAGGAGGGAGGAGGAGGAGGAGGAGGAGGAGGAGGAGGAGGAGGAGGAGAGGAGGAGGAAGGAGGAGGAGAGAGCAGGAGGAAGGGAGGAGGAGAGGAGGAGGAGGAGAGGAGGAGGCGAGGCGGAGGCGGAGGCGGAGGAGGAGGAGGAGAGGATGATGATGATGATGATGATGATGATGATGATGATGATGATGATGATGATGATGATGATGATGATGATGATGATGATGATGATGATGATGATAATGCTGCTGATGATGCTGATGATGATGCTGATGATGATGATGAGGAGGAGGAGGAGCAGGAGGAGGCGGAGCAGGAGGAGGAGGAGGAGGAGGAGGAGGAGGAGGAGGAGGGGGAGGGGAAGCGAGGGGGAGGGAGCAGAGATCCTATTTATCTTGAGCTGGGGCGGTAGCGGAACCTCTCCATCTCTGCTCTTGCTTTCAGTCCTCAGGAAAACTCTAAGAGGAGGCTCTGGTCCAGAATCTTCGTTCCGGATCGTGTTTCCGAACCAACTCGTTTAATTCAGGGTCTCCAGAGCCTCTGAATTCGAATATCTCTGATTACACCACGATGTGCCTAAATGCGCTATGATACACGTGCACACACACACAACGCAAAACAAAGGGGGCCGCAATCAGGCCTCCAAACGAAGTAGATCATTCTCTCTGTACTCGTTCTTCCGCTCGATAAACTTCCTGGCGGTGAACTGCTTCCCACTGATGCTGCTGATCTTCCAGATGCCGGTGCTCACTAGAGTCATGGTCTGAGGAAATGTTCCCGTCTTTGTTAGAGCATCACATATCATACTGTGAGTGGGGCAGTGAATGAAACATTTGATTCGGTGTGTCAGTCTTTCTTCTCGAATCGCAAAGATGGGGAGTCTGCTGTTCTTGTCGCTCGGAACTCCTTTGACTCCGCAACATAATTGCCAGAACTCAAGGTAATCCGTATAGTGGTCTATCGCCAAGTTCATACGTCCAGAGTCAACATGTTGCAGAACGTCTCGAGGTCGGTGCTGATATGATGTAGCTCTCAGTAGTTCAGTGAATCTCATGGAAACGAATTGGGCGTACTGGTTGGCCGTATATCTTGCATTCGTCTCCGCATGACACGTACTGTGTGAGATTCGTTATGCTTTCCCCCTTTGAATTGCCATCTTGTGACATCGTCCGCCAAAGTAGTTCTCGTCCTTCATGTCTGCTTTGTCCTTCTTGTCGAAGTGGATATCATTCATTCTGTCCTCCATGAGCAATACTGTACTTCCTTCTTGAGGATATGACGTGATCTTATTGCCGTGTGATGCGTCAACCACTGATGCTAGTCGGAAAGGAGGAACGAGTTCAGGAAAATGAAATCCCGCGAGCCGTCGGTTTCGGATCGTTCGACTAATGATGGTGTTCAGCTGGGTGATGTTCTCCACCTTGGCATCTCTCACAAACTGCTGTAGCTGAACTGTGTCGCAATATATGTCCTCCCGTGTCTGACACAACCACAGTAGAGAACATATACCACTGCGAAGTTGATGGGTCTCGTGGGCTGCTAGTGGTTCTTTTGGCTTTGCTTGTCGGTCCTTGCTGAGTTCAACCTTCTTCAGTCCGTCCACGAACTTGTCTTGATGGATAAGAAGATGTCTTCCTTGAAGTAGTTCATAGGTCATGCCCATGTGTGTGAATGGAAGGTTGTGCCGTTTGACTTTGCCGAATCGTTTCTCTGTCTTTTCTTGGGCCCATCTCATCCATGTGTGGGGTGCCAATATGATGATGTCGTCCACGTGCACTGTCCAGATCATCTTGATCTTGCCCTTCTCGGCCCACATGAAGAAGTTGTTGTCGAAGACACTCTGTACTCCTTGGAGGTCATTCTTGATGAACATGATTGCCATAGGAGTGGCGCGTCCACTGTCCCGTAGATAGGTTTCAACAACATGAGGTAGAAGAATTGACTATCACTGTCACCTAGGTGTATCGTGGACCTCTCGTAGTTCCGAAAATGTCGGCACACGTTCATGGGAGGCTTCATGTAGACCTTTCTCTCCTGCCTGATCTCGATGCCGAGCTGATCCGCGTACTTCTTCAGGTCCCGGTAGATCAAGCCCTGCAAGAGATCCCGTCGAGATGTCCCAGGTTTCCATCTCCATGTCCTTCTCGATGCTGAAGAGTGAAGCCACCATTCGTTGTGAAAGTCTCGATGCTGTCGAACTGTGGCGCATAACGTCATTTTTCTGAGAATCAAGAAATCCACGTCCGCAGAGCCGGGATTCGATGATGTAGTACAGGTTGTTGTTCTCGTCGTACATCTTCTTCCAGCGTCGAACCCATACCGCGTCGATGATGTTCCCGCTGTCTAGGTCATTGCCGTGCTTGGCCATGAAACAGTTGCTGTCGATGAAAGATCTGGCTTCTTGTTGATCGGCTTTCTCGACTAAGTCCCAGTATTGGTAGATCTCCGATTCCGTCAACACGTCATCGCTCTGCGCGAAGATTGATTCGCCGGTCATCAGGTCAAAGTAGAAACATCGGCTTCTTCCGAATGGACCTGGTATGTCCCAGTGGGCTGCCTTAAGATCCCAAGGAAGTTGATGTTGTTCCATGCTGCGAAGATTTGCTGAGACTTCGTCTGCCATGTTCGCCATCCATCATGTT